ATCCTAGGTCAGGCCGCGGAGCTGAGCTTCATGAGGAGGCATAGAAGGGTTATAACAAGGAGAGCAGCACAATGAAGTTTGCAAGTGAGAGAGAACCTTTTAGTAGAATGTAAAGGATATCCTAGAGAAGCTGAAGGAAGCAGACCAGTTAGGAGGCTGCTGGGGCCCCATGAGAAAGGATGACCAAGGGTGAGAGAGCAGCGGGGCTCTGATGGAAGGGAGGGACTCATTTGACATGCCAGCGGTACAGTCACCATTGTCACCAACTAGATGTGGCAGGAGAAATCTGAAATATTGCTCAGATCCTGGTATGGTCAATGAGTGACATGTGGCTCTCTTAACCAGAAGAGGGGATATTTACTCTTGCTTGATTATTTGTTTGACAATTGACATGATTTTGACCCTAAGTGGAGCTCTAAATCTCAATAGCTTGCTGTTAACAGCTTAATAGGAAAGACCCAAGGTCCTTCTGCCTAGAAATCTAATTCCTCAAACAGAGCAGAACTTAGAGTGTGCGGTAGAGTTAGCATCTTTCTACATTATGGAAAAAAAGTGTTTGGTCAAGCAAATAATGGAAAGGATGCAATGCCCCGTGGCTTGCCCTCAAATTTTATAAAGGGACTGCAACAAATCAAAGAAGACTTCTAGTTTCATAAAGTTACTTTAAATCCTAAACCCCATGATTTCTGACTAAATTTCTGTTCCAAGTATGAAGTTACATGGCACTGTGACTTCAGATATTTTGAAATCAAAGGGATCAAAGAAAGGCTATAAACTAAGGAGTTACTGAGGGAAGTCTTTGCTTTGAAAAAAAATCTGAAGGGAGGACGAGATCTTTGTGGGGAGGTTCTTCAGTGAGGACGGAATCATCTCATCATTGGAAGGGACCTGGCTGCTGGGGACTGAGGAGCTCAGAGCAAGTGGCTCTCAGACGTGGTTATTTCCTGCCTTACTCATTCTCCATGGTGAGACTCTAGGATCCAAAAGGAAATTATCCGTTCTGTTACCTTACTGATTACTAAAGTACACACCAATGATGAAGATGAGAAGTTCATGTTCGGCTCACCTGTGCAAAACCAGTTGGGCTCTACAAACTCCCCTCCCCTGAAGCCTCTCTAAGCAACTCACTTCAAGAGAAGGGCTCAAGGTTAGGGGAGAAGGAATCACCTAGTGAGAGTCCCAGAGTAGAAAACAAGTGTTAGCTTCACTCACGATGATAATTCACAGTTAAAAAATATAAAGTTTACATATAGATATATTTTATAGGAAATAAGAAAATTTCCTTATTTTTAAAAAGTGAAATAGACTTTATGTCAATCCAATACATTTTTATTTAAATGAATGATACTGCATGGACAATTATATTAGATTCACTTACTATTAACAATGTCAATACCACAAGCCTGGTGATGGATATCATATGAGCCAGTCACCCACCACCCTTGCTGGAGGATGACATTTTAAAGGATCAAATCCAAAAAGTTTGAATCTATAAATCATTCATTGCCTCATGCCCAGGACGAGAACATTGTTTTCTGCATAGAATGAAGAATGAGTAGAACTTTAACAATGTTAGGTTAGGTCATGGTAGTGGCTGAAAAACATCCACAAGCAACGTGGTTTCTTACATTCAGGAGTCAATCTGAGACCTGACTCCTTTAGTTTTGTTGCTCTGCAGACCATTGCCTGGATCAGTGGATTATGGTTTTTGTTTTGTTTTGTTTTTTAAGAAAATGGAATATATCCGAACGTCCTGGTGCAAACTAAGGCAAATGGTGTGCACAGGTATCCTGTCAATTTAGGATCTTTTTGTTTATTTGTTTTTACTAGATATTTGCAATGAAGTCTGAAGGTATAATTATGAAAACTCTACAAAGAGTTATGTTTCCATAAATTTCTGTGAAATTATAATGAAACATTAGAATAAGACACTACTAATTAGAGAGTTTATGTAAAATAGTGTGGTTACACAAGAAACAAACTTACAAAATACACAAAGTTACTTGACCTACAACTTTAATGTTATTTAGTGATTATGCTGCACATCGTATAGTTGTCATTAAAAAGGAATTTACTTGCAAATATTTGCTTACTAGGTTGGAAAAGTGATAAAATATGTTTATTTGATCAGTTGTGATCAGTTTGTGCAGTGTAGTGTTTCATTTGAAAGTGAGAAACTTAGGTGCCCCAACTTAAGAAACTGGAAGGGAAAAAGCATATGGAAAGTGGTATTTGAAAAATGACAAGAGGGTGGACATTTGCTGGCTTCCCTACCTGTGCTCAACTTTATCCTCACCACACCACAGCCTTGGAAAGCCAGTTGAAATGCATCGCCATGTGAGAGATCAGAAGATAAACTGGGAGAGGGAAATCATCCGACTTCATAGAGTTGCTAAGCGCTGGGGACAGGGCTGTGACTGTGAAGTCTATACTTTTCACTGAAGGATGCTACCTGCTTCTTGAAACTGTGGCTCCATTCCCATGGCTACATTTCATTTTCTTAGAAAGCAACATTTAGGGAAAGGTGCAGAGAGTCACTAAGCTGAGCAAGTTGGGCTTTAGAGTAACTCTAAACCAAAGCCAGAGGGGCTCACTGTCTTTCAAATGGAAACTTGGTTTTGGTTGTAACTTGTACTATCCATGCAATGAGAGGCCGAAAATGAAAGACTTGTCTGTACTTGGGTCAGCAGGAAGGGAGGATGGTGGTCAACGGAAATACGAGTTGTGGTCAGAAAACCTGGATATGAGTATTATCTCTGCAACTCACTAGATGATGGGTAGCTTCAGCAAATATTTTTTACCTCCCTGAGCCTAAATTTTCCTCAGCATTTATCATATCAACATTCCATGGGGTTTAGAGAATAAAAAAGAGATAAAGGATTTTTAAAGCTATAGACCATTATAAAATGCTATTTATATTTAACAGGTTATTTCTCTGTATATGAGCAAACCTATCCATGAGTTATTAAAGATGCTGACATCTGCAAATAATTCTCTAACGTCTTCAGCACGCCGTGGGCTGGGAAGGGAAGTTGATTCCTCCATCAGGTTCTGCCTGGAGAAGTCAGCTGGAAGGGGAAGAGTTAGAAAAAGATGCTGCCTGGAGCCATTACCCCATGTGTCTCCTCTTTGGGAACTGCTGGTCTCCTTCCCCTACTCTGTTTTCAACAGGTTCAGGTAGATCGTGACAGTTTTCCTCTAGGTAACAACATCCTCTCCTATTCTCCTGATGGATGATACTTTGGAGCTTGCTGAAGTGCAAAACCAACAGCTCACTAGAGAGGTCCAACACCTGCAATCTCAGAACGCCAACAGGAGCACAGAGGCACATGCGGGATTGGGCCGAGCTACTTTGTCCAACAACAGCCTGAAAGATTAGGAATATTGTTGCTGCTTGTAGCAGCAGGGTGGTTCTGGCTTTCATAAACTGAAAGCACTTGTATTTCCTTCCAAATTAATCTTTGGAGTAATAGTTTCCATAAATTCATTTTATGCTATCCATTTCAGAGAGGGCAAGCCAAAGGTAGAACACAGAGTGATGCGCGTGAGACCATCAACAACATCCACTCCTTCCAGCATCCTAAATCTCTAGATTTCAGAATTGCCTGACTTCACCCCCAATCCTTGACATCAAGTCCTTTTGTCATTCGTCATCAAGACAGAGAGCATAGAAATCTAATGATGAGGAAGACACTAGGTTGCAAAGACAGATTGTGTGCTATTTTGAAGAGCTGGCCTGGGTTTGACCTTCAAGAGTGTATATGGTTGACTATATAGATTGTACTGTTTACTCTCTCTCTACCACCCTCCACCACACATGCATCTGCCTCAAATATCCTAGGTACCCAATTTTAACCTGAATTCCTAAGAAAGCTACTTGTAGTCTTCAGTTGGGAAGATAGAAAAAGCCTCAGCTTAAACTTGAAGACAGAGGAAAATGTATTTGTCTTTAATTTTTAAATACTCTGTGTAATCCTTGATTTTCTGAATTGAATAAGTGAAAGGATGTGGTGGCTTCAGGTTAGTGTGTGTTCAGTGTGTGTGTGTGTGTGTGTGTGTGTGTGAATCACAGTTGACACAAATATGAGGTTTCTGAATAGTTCTGAAAACTTAGTAATATAAATAGTAAAAACTAGCACAGAAGTCACTCTTTGAATGTCCTAGACACCCAGACTGTTTTGGAGAGGACACTAGAGGAGCCGTTAGTAGGTCATAGGAATCACAAACATACATGGGATGACGTTGATGGGAGGCCTCACGGTGCCCTCAGATTTCAAAGGGGGCCACTGTGTACCCCAAAGGATGACTGGCCTCTTCTTCATATACGTCAGAAGCCCTTACCCTGTTTGGAATAATGAGTAAAATGCTTGAAATATATAGAAAGTACCACCCATGCAAAAAGCTATTTGTTAAAATATGGCTTTTGTTTAGGCTAATTTCAGTAAGAAAAGTAATATCCTCATTTCTATAAGTCTAAGGATGTGGGAACTTTCTCATGCATGGGCCCTTCCCTGAGTGGTAAGATGGACATTGAGTTTAATTTATTGATAGAATGAGGGGAACGAGCCCAATTTAGCCTCATCTCTTCTTAAAAGTATGAACTGATAAACTAAGAGTCTGATGGAAAAGAAATTGACTGAAGCTGTAGGAAAGCTTAGCACAGCCCAATGCTGACGGGTGCCTTCAGGCACGGTGGCCATGACCATTTGGGTCGCAGTGAGAAGTTGTCCTTTCATAGCTGCGTCAGGTTGCCATATTGACATTTCCATTAGCCTGGAGAAGCTTCTTGCTATCACTACAGAACATGCTGACAACCAAGACTTAGGCAATCTTGCCCTAAAGTGTCCTCTTTGATGTTATTGTGTGTATGGGAGTAGGGAGGGTATCATATAGCTTGGTCGTGGCCCCTTCAGCAAGGATTATAGTGGCAAGCAGAATCAGTAGGCAGAAGATGACTGAAGAATAGGTCATGTGGCATAAGCGACGGACAGACAAGCTGATCGTGGGGTCCACCGAACACATTCCTAAATTAACACAGCTGGTGCAGGAACAGGACAGGTGCTGGTCTAACAGACTGAAACGCTAGTCTGCTGAGCAACACTCCCAGGTCTCCACGGGGGAGCATTTTTATTGCAGTATGTCTTTCATGGAAAATGAACAGAACTTGAAATAAATCACAATTACTTATTGCTTAATATTTTGGATAATAAATTCTTTAGTTTATCAGTACCCCACGCCTTCAAATGTGCATTCTTCAAATAGTTTCAATTACATATACATTCTTTCTCCTGAACAATAAATTATTTAAAAAAAAGAAAAAAGAAAAGATACATAATTTTAAAGCAAAGGAAAACAAAAAACATATATTTTTGACATTTATCTTAAACTTATATGAAAACAACTCTATGTTAGATGCTTAAATATAAATAATAAAAGACATTATGTTATTTACAATGTTACACAGTAAGTTGAGAGAGTAAAAATCTAACATTAACTCATAAAGACAGTAAATGATTTAGGAAAACATCCAAGTAATGTACAATATGTATTTACAAAAGAATATATAATAGAACTTGTGATATGTGGCCATTTCCTTTTGTCTGCGTTTCTCTGCAGTGTTTCATGTGTCTTTGTAGATAGAAATCTCGGTGGCTGGTGGAATGCAGCCAGCACTGAATGAAAAAACCAGGCCTTTCTTATTTTCACCAGTGTGAACCATGCACCTTTCAACCCCAGACCAAAAAAAAAAAATCAATTACTGAGCAAGTTACCCTGGATAAACTCCACTTATATCAAGACAGTCACACTTAAACAAAGAAGATACAGCGTGTTGGTGTTTGAAACACATTCACATACACCCAGGTCGAGTGCTATTTTGTGGAATGCATGAGATTGTCCAGGTAAGAAAAGTCATACTAGGCAGAAAGGAAGGGTAGGACAGAGAAGGAATCTTGAGTGAGAAAAAGGAGTTTTGCATATACTATGCTCCATTGCATACCCCTCAGTGGGATTTCAGGCCCGGGGGAAGGAAGCTGCTGTTGGCCTTCTGGGCAATTTCCACTGCCTGAAAACCCACGAAAGCTTTTCAGAGGTTGGGAACATTGGTTCACACTCCTTTGAATTGCCACAGCACTGCCTCTGTTTATAAACAGGGTTGTTTGAGAGCCATGTGGCAATTAAACAGCATAGAGATGCCCCTGTGAACACAAAGTTGGTGGCTGCAGCAGATAACCCTGAGGAGTCAGCTGGCCTTTCTTATCAAGGGAAGATCTTATTCTACAGAGGGTAATGCTGTCCCGACTAATGCCACCTCTGTGAGTGCCCAGAATCAGGTTGGAAGTGAAATTTCCTCTTATCCTAAATGTTCACATACTTTTGCAACATGAAAATTTACAGCTATTTTCAAACTGATGAAAATGCTGGTCATTGATCTCAACAGATTTTATTTATTCCCAGAATTCTCCAGAATGAGGCATTTGAATACTCCAAAGCCTGTAGCATTTGAAACAGAAATTTTAGAGTTTTAATTCATGAGAGGAAGTTTTTTTATTGAAACAGTCTAAGGCTGAATCAAGCCCTTCAAATGTTAGAATAATCTATAGAACTTCTTTATGTTGACTTGTCTTCTTGCTCCTGCCATGAATGCACTTGTTTCTACAGACCTGCAAAATCAGTGCAACCTATGCAGCCTGTGAGGTGCCCCTCCCTGTGGAGTAACAAGCTGACTCGGGCACTGCTGGGCATGGAGAAAGTGGCATGTGAACAATGAAGGGCAGCTTGGGAGACCAAACACTCAGAGTGACATCAAGTACCTGCGGACAGCCATCTCTGTGCGTGGCAGAAACATGTAGGAGCTCAATGATAGGACTCATGCTCAGCCTGCATCTTTCTTCTAAGACCTGCTTGCATGCTATTTTTCCCTTTACCTTTAACATAGAGACCTGGTGAAGAAATAGGTTCAGTTCACCTTCAAACAAGAAGCAGTAACTCTCATTGACTGCATGCCTGGTATTTTGATCCCCGTGCTAACCTGTTTCCCGTTTTGTCACATGGTTCCTAGGCGTCTACATGGAACCTAAGTTAGGCTCCAACCTGATTTGACAGATTTCAGGCAGTTCATTAAATGGAGCCTCTGATTTTTAAAGGAATCTCTTATTTTCCTAGATTAGCAGTTATTTCAAATGTTAATACCTATAGGCCTTTCTTGGATTTACAATCACAAGAGAACATGCAAAGTTCAGGCCCATCTTAGTCCTGTGCTGTGACAGCAAAGCAAAAAGTAAGAAAGGGGGGAACTGGGTGATACAGGCTGAGAATTGAGGGGTCAGTACACAAGAGGGGGCATTTCTGCAAGGAAATGTGCCATCTTCCAACACTACTGATGCTTCTTGGCAAAGCATGGCTCGCGGAAGGTTCTTACTAATCACAAATCACATGCACATTGGCCATTCCTGACAAGAATGTTCATGCATAGTTATGACCTAATCAAGGCAACATTGGAAAACAAGAGAAAAAGAATGAGGAGAAAGGAGTGGTCAACAAAACTGTACGAAATTGCAACCCAGTCACACAGCTGCTCTCCACCTGTGTCTTCTACACAGTCACTCCTTCTAGACACTCTGTTTCCCCATGATGACAAGTCACCACTACGAACAGCAGGCACATTTCAGTCTAGAAGTGCTTCAGACAAACTGCTGAGTGTGCTGTTTAAGCTGGGGGTTTTGTGCCATAGTATGTCTGTTTTGAGCCAAGAAGACAACCGATTACTGGCTCCGAAATCGATGAAAAATGCAAGTCAGGAATGATTCAACCTTTCTCAGCCATGGTTTGATCTTCAACTAGATGAGCTGCTGTGTCATTCCCCCACAGAGAAAGTGGCATTAAGTCCTCTCGTAAGGTGTTGGACATACCCTAGTAGCAAGCCAGAACACAATTTCTCTGCTACCCTCCCCAAACTGTGGCTTGCTTGTCAAGAAAAATAAATCAAAATCAAGTAAATGGTAGCTCCTTTGAGTGAGAGCAAGCTGTCTTCTCATTAACAATATAGTTTTTTTTAAAAAATCACAATATTACTTTCTTCCTAATATTTAACATTACTTAATGCAGTTTCCTGCTGTAATTAATAGTAGCATGCTGTTGGATCTACTATTATCTCAGAGCCCAGTGAAGCAAACCTTTGGCTGGCAGAGTAGACACAACTCATTTCATATACTGAAAGCAAAATAAAACTTCATACAAAAGAGGAGAGTATTTGGATGGATGTGCCATTACAAGACGTACTGACTGATTGGGGGCTACAGGAAGCAAACAGAGGAACAGTTGCAAGTCTTGCAAATCATACATCCGGTCAACATCATAATGCAATGCACGAGAAGCCAGCAAAAACTGAATATATGGGAGGTTTTGCAGAAATACTGTGGAAAAGCAATCACGGTAATGGTACAAAACTTGCTCTCGACATAACATAACATAAAGGCACCATTGATATCTTTCTCATTTTGAAATACTGTAAAAAATTGCTACATATGGCACATAACACATTTTTACATACATATATTTAATTTATAAAAGTTTTTTTCCTGTTTTCTATTTGCAGAACTGCTAAAATAAAATAAATTGTTTAATTTAAGGTGGAATACTTTATTATATAAAATAAAGTTTTACAGGTGAATCTATGTGTTTATTTAGGTTTTATACAGCGATAGGGTCTTGGTTAGCGATTACACTAGACAGCCTGGCCTGCAAATCCTCCTGCGTAGAGAAGCGGCCTGCGGGGTTAGTCCTGCTCTCAGCCAGGCGGAAGGCAGGGGCCGCCTCGAGACTGGCTGCCAGGGGGTTCTGTATGCCCAGGAAAGGTGTCGCTTCACCTACTCTCTCGTCTTCTGTCTCGCTCTCTGAGTTACTGCACTCAGCGCTTGTGTTGCTGTCCATTTCCAACCTGTTGGCAATGTGGCCATTGGGCTTGGTTCTTTTGGCCCGCCGGCTGTTGGTGAGTTTCTTAACAGGTTCTTGAGCTGGCTCGTACTCCTGGGTCGTTTCATACTCCTCATCCTCCACTATCCTCAAGGGGCTAGGGGGCAGGCTGTTGCTCTCATGCGCGGGGTTGTGGTGGAAGGAGTTGAACTGCTGAGGGTGGTGGTCGCACTTTTCCCGCAGCCTGGGCGGTGTCACCAGAAGCAGAGGTCTCTCTTCTTCCACAAAGGGGCTGATGGCCATGGAGGGCACGGATGCTGTCGTGCTGGACACAGGTGGAGACATTTCCGAAGGGGGCGATTTGGGGGAGCTTGGCGTGTGGAAATCTACAGGTGACATACGAGCCGGGGTGGTCATGGCTGACACATACCTGTGTGAGCACAGAATACCCCGCATAAGTGTGGTGGAATAAGAGGCACGGAGTAGGGAGGGTCAGGGGACAGACTTCACGAAATTATAATCAGAAAACAGACTCTCTAATTGTTGTATACTTCTTGACTTTTACACTAGGACATTCAGCCCCCTTGGAAGCTAAAAGTATGTAGCCAATAGGCTCCTTACGGGAAGTACATGCACAGGTCAGCTACATTGCCTAGCTCATCAAATCTTTTAGGATGTTCAATCTCATCGTGATTTTAAACAAAAACACGAGTCAGATCAAGAGGGCACTAGGTCCTGGAAACCTGTCAGTTTATAAGGACCAAGGCTCAGGGGTTTGTAAAGGAAAGAAGTATTACTTAAATACTATACCTTCCTAAAGGCCAAGGGGTCTTAGAGAATGAAGCCCAAATGGGGAATGGAAGAAGATCTAAGATGAGTTGCTGAGAGCTGGATCTGCATGCATTTGGATCTGTGTGCCTTGTTTCTCCTTAGCTCAGCTATAAGGTTATGTCTTATGAAAAAAAGAGAGCATAGTGACTTAGATTTATTCCTGATAACAGTGTAACACATTTGTGTGCTTTAAATTTTTCCACGAAATGCTACTTCTTAACATTCAGTTTGCAACTATGCATCCCAGGGACCAAGATATCCACAGATAAGCCTGAGAGAGTCTTATGTTGGCTTCGTAGTATGCTCAATCTCTGGCTACCTTTCTTCCAACACAGCTGCATCCGCCTTTGACTTATCTTTGTGAACGCTCAAGGTTGGGTGTCCCATGTCACTTTATGTCACGCTATGTATGATGCTCAGTGAATCTTGTTGTCAAGACATTGAGTGCACTGTTTTTGTTTTTTTTTACAATATCATGTTTTTTTTGTCCCCTCAGAATAAGAAGACCTGACTTGACACAGAAGATGTGGCTTATTCAGAGTCACATTTCTTGGCTTTTTATAAACATGTTACCAATGCATAGCACTGAGTGACTCTCTTCTTCACACTGGCATTCTCAGAGTCTAATTTGACACGACCTGTGATGACACAGGACATCATCATCTGAACACTAGCTAACAGGAACCCATTCACTTTCCTGCTTCTCGGCCGTGATTCCGAGCTGCGTGGATGTGAGATCTGGCTGTGTCTAAAATGGGACGTGTCTGCAGACTGAAATATTCGGGGCTCGAGTTTTCAGACTCTTCGCTTCGAGGACACTGAAATCAACCTCTCTGAGAATTGCTACCCCAAATTCAACCAGTACCTAAAAGTGATTTATCTTTTCTCTCCATGAACCCCAGGTTCAGGTATGTTTTGCAGTCCTAGAGAATACCTGGGGTATTCAAGGAGGCCTACTGTAGTAGGGAAATGTCAACCTTTAAAGAGAGATGTCACATGTAGGGATGAAGGAAAAATTTTTCACTAGCTTCTTTTTCAGGTTTCAGAAAAGACTAAAATAGGACAGATAAACTTTCTTCATACATAAAGATACAATTATATGAATCTGAGTCTAATGTTTTACACCAGGTTTGGATCAATACCTACTTTCTCACACATGAACAGAACAACCTTCAATTCTGTAACACTCTGAAATGCCCTTTTGGGGCATTTCATAGAAAGGCCCTTGAAGAAGTGATTAGTAGGTTTTACATGACATGACCTAAAAGCCCAGAACTGGTCTTCCTTCATTTTAAGTAGTTCCTAGTCCGTGAGTGGAAAAAGCCTATCAACATAATTTCTACCCATGTAAACACCAATAAGTATGGATGTGACATTCTGTAAAGCTTTGAACAAATGGTCAAAGGTTAGACCGAGATGACACAGTAAACAAAGAGACAAACCCCACTGATTTGAAAACAAGTGACAGCTTGCAGATAGGCTAGCAATGGTGGTTGATACAACTCTCTCCCAGTCCAGGTGACAATGGGTAAGGAGAACCTGTGAACTCAACATTCCCATTAAGCATCTTTTTCAGTTTACTTTCCTGTGTTCTGCGTTTTACCTTTGCCGTAGCCCCCCAACCCCCATTCAACACCCCCAGAAGAGTGAAAACATTCAGGAATAAAGGGCCATATGGGAGGCAATATCTGCTTTAAAAACCACCTGTGAAGACTGCCAATGCAGCATATAAAAGATTTATTTATTCATCCCTTCTTGGAATTTCATAAAAGGGATATTCTATGGTGGAACGCAAGCGCTTGTTCCCCATGACAGTCAGCAGCGACATAGCCCTTGACTTGATTTAGCTGAGGCTGGAAGGTAAGAAGAGTTAGCACATGAAAACACGAGGTCAGTTCAACCAGAGTTTGGACAACTGGCAAACTGGAATTATAGAAGGGTCCTTATCAATCACTGGTGCCATCTCTCTAAAGTTACAACAGAGGAAACAGATCTCGAGTGGGGCTGAGCCTAAGGTCAGAGCTAGGAACTCCAAGTTTGCTGCACTTTCCACATCAAATCATTCCAGCTCTTTAAGAGTCTGTTGCCTGTTAGCCATTGGGACGCCGTGAGAAGCTCAGATGAAATGAGTTCAGTCAAACAAAAAGATGACTTCATCAACTAGGAGCACTCCTAGAACAGGCAACTGCTTCCCCTTATTCTCATTAGAGTAGATTTCCTTAGGTGAGACCGCAGGTGCTCATGGGGATTCTCTTACTGGGGTTCTCTCTCCTCTGCAGTAGCTTTGCCCTTCGGTTTTACCTTTCACTATGAGGAGAGTCTCGGTAGGAGTCAGGGGTTTCTCTGGCATGCCTGAGGAAGCTGTTACATTCACGAGGGCCTCCTATGCCATTTAGCCGTCCTCTCGGGCCCCCAGTTGGGCTGCCGTGCCTACTGTTTTCTACTGATGACATCATGATTACAGAGTGGCTTTCTGAAATGATGCTTTCCGTGTGTCCATTGCTCCAGCTAGAGGGGAAATGTGAAAGGCAAAGAGGTAATTTAAAAAAAAATTACAAGCAACGATGTAAATGAAAGAGAATGACCTGACAAATATTTGAAATTATCGGTGCATCAGTAGTTTACTGTGACATTGCTTGTCTCAGAATAGAATTGTTACAAAGATACTTGGTATAGAAAGGATCTTGATCTAGACTGGTTTTGGAAGGATATAGGTTCTTCATTTGTTCACTCATTTGACACTTTTATCAAATGTCACTATGTACTAAGTATTCTTATAATCACATGTTCTTGAGTGGCTTAGGTTAAGGAAACACTTGTCCAATGAGCTGCACTTGGAAGCCTAGTGTTGCCCTTGGTAGCACACACTCAGATACGGGTCACCAGGGCATTTGCACATTCAACCGATTTCTCAGGTGCATTTCCCAGGGCAATTCAGTCACTGCAAGAAGTCAACTTCTAAGTATCCTGCAGCACCTATGCCTTTTCCTAGCATAGCAATTCAGTGAGTGGTGGGGCAAGAGTAAAGACAATCTCTAAAAGGGGGAACAACAATCTTCAGGGAGGTATTATTTCCCATTGTTTGACAATGAAAAAAATTAAGGCTCGCATTCAAACAGCAATTAAATGCCAGAACCAGTTGATGTCTAAAGTCTGTTCTGGTCTCAAACCATACCTTTAACTGCACTTCACTGCCCCATACATGTCCCTGTCCCTTCTCAGACAAGGACAGAACAAGGACATGTGCAAATGTCCACGCGTGGAGGAATGCCATGCAGTTTTTTTGTTCTCGTACCTGTGACTAGGAGTCTGGGTGACAGTAGTGGAGTGATGAGCTGTCGAGGTGTAGTGACTGGTGGAAAAAGATGTCTCCACTTCTCGCTCAACGATTTGCTCGCTGGAGATGATATTTTTAGATACATATTGCTGGATAAACAAAGAGACACAACTTGAAGATTCACGTAAATCAAAACACTAACATTGACATGCACAAAAAATCTAGTACAAGTGCTTCATAACAAATTTTGTTTCCCCAATGCCCAGATAGCAAATCCTATCCTGGCTACTATGGCCTTTAGATTCAGTAAGTGGAGCTGAAAAATTAATCTTCGGTAGTGCCCTCAATGTAGGTCCTATAATTATACCTGCATATTGTCAGAAACAGACGTATTTCTTCCATTTTGTTTCCTGTTGATGACTAGAATTCAACACAAATCATTACTCAGTATTCATTTTTGTCATGGATGGTACAAGTTAAGTAAAAGAAGATTTTGTTTAAAGTCTCTATATTTTGGATCTGCCTCTCTCATAATTTCCTAGTGCCCATGTTGCCCAAGTGATACCACTGAAATCGTTAACTTGTCAGTGGTAAGACTAACAAAGCTATGAGGGATCTGAAGGACTTATGGTAGCTGTCAAGGTCATGTATCTTGGCTACATAAAGGGCCCATGTTCAGTGCAAATGTATTCTACTTCACTTTCATCAGCAAAGCACACAGTAGCTCTTACTGCCTTCTCTCAGTGAGAGAGACACATTCTGAAATTGTTTTTAAATGCTATTCATATTTTTACCAAACTGAGTTAAATAAGAGGATAAGGCATGGAAAGGAATACTCTTAGATGACATACACCATTTTGTAATCTGATGGGCTGTGGGCACTAAAAGAGCCTGGTATGTTTGTGGAAGCCCCCAAAATATTCAATCGGGTCATGCTTGAAATTCTAACTGGTTCCCTTAGAGAAAAGGCTATTCCTTGTAGATCTCTCTGGGCCATAGGAACAGCTGGCTTGCTTTAAGGAAAAGGTGGCAGTGTCATATGTAATGAGCTACTTTCAGTCTGTGGACCATTTCACTCTTGCTCCTTGCAAGGCAATGTAAGCTCAGTCAGTCTAATGAAAACAATATTTAACAATTATTCAACACTCATTAAATGCCACTGGGTTAAGTGCTTTTTATAGATTCTTTTATTTAATGCTAACAAGAACTTTCTGAGGTAGGTATTATTTTCAGGCCTATTTTCATAATGAACAAATAGGATTTAGAAAGATTAACGCCTAAAGTTCCACAGCCTGAGCCATAGTTGGAATCCAGGCAGTCATTCAGCTTCCTATATATTGTACCACTCTCAGCAACAGCTTGTAGGTGTGCCTCACTGAATGCATTTATCAACTGTGCAGAACGTTCTAGTGAACGCGGGTCAGGGGAGGACAGCAGCAACGTGTGTTAACACACTAGCACCTCACTCTGACAACCTCCTGAAGGTCTCTGCTATGAGACTTACTGGTGGTTTAGTAACCTCCAACTCTAAACTTGGGTCCATGATACATTTGCTCCAGACAAAATATACCTTTTCCTACAGGATAGAAAATGTAGTGCAAGACCATGCTCAAGCTTTACTTCTAAAAAGCCAAACACCAGAAGGAAATGAAGAAAACAGGAAGAAATTACAGTGGACTTGAAAGGGCGATATTTCAAAAGCCAGGAAAACTGAGTCCAGCTCTGGCCCTAATCTGCACAAAAGGGAGTTTCGGATGATGGTATTGAAAGGCTTTCCACAGTCTAATTCTAGGACTTAGTTATATTTAAAAGCTGAGTGCTTGGTACATTTTAAACAAAATACCTGAATGACTAAAGGCTATATTTCGTCTGGAGGGTGTGGCACCACGTAGAAAGTGGAGGGGAATACGAAAGCGTTAAATGTTCTTCCAGTTTTGCTGAGAAGCAAGTTTGATAAGTCACTCGACCTTTCCGTGCCCTAATTTCTTCCTTTGTAAATCAATCAGCAAATCCTCAAGCACGGGGCAAAGCCTCTAATAAAAATCACTCTCAAGCCTTTAGCTCTGTTATCAGTACTAATCAGTTATAGCCTGGAGTAGCCTTCATTTCCAAATTGTGAAAATAAAACATTTCCTCCTTAGTCTTGTAACATTAATTTTCTTATTTTTCTCTTTGTGTTTTTCTTTTCTTTCTTCCAGTTACGGCTTCCCTGCAGAACAAACCCAACGTTATTATTCCAGCCCCTTAATGAACACTTCAGAGGAGGAAATGTGCTGGTTTTACAGTAACGAAATCCACTTTAAAAAATGTTCCCATTATTTTCTCCTGGCAAAACCCCGGATTCCTGGAAGCCGTGGAGATTAATGGCAGTGGCGAAGAGCCTAAGAGCTTTAGAAAATAAACGCCAAGGTGCCTGAACGGAGCAGAGATGCTCCGCTTTCCCACCCGGCCAGAGTCAACATACATTCACCAGCTGGACGTTCTCGGCGGGTGGGTTCGGGTGGTGAGGCCCGTTGGCGATGTTCACCATGTTGTTCCGTTCGGACCGCAGGCTCTGCCGCAGCCGGTCGTGAAGCTTTTTCCGCTGCTTCCTGGACATGGAAAAGGGGACACTGATTTTTTTTTCTATTATGTACATTTCTAAGTGGAGTCGATTTTTTCTTTTACCAACACCTAACTCAGGCAGTGGGCTGGTGGTGAGGGCGGGGAGGGGGTGCGCTATTTTATCTCAGAATCTGCCTATGAAGGGCAGTCAGGGAACGGGACGTTCTCAGCAAAGAGATTTAAGAAGCCCAATGGGATTCTTACAGAAATTAAACTGGACTGCTGAGAGATAAGACAGAAAGAGACGAGGACAAGAGAAATCAAGTTGCCATTTGGCTAAAACCCCAGCTTCCCTAATCCACCCATCTGTGCCTATCCTATGTCTTACAGATGTCGTAGGCAATCATTTGTGCTGTGCAATTGAGAAAGCTGATTTCACTAATAATTTCGACTGTCTGTCTTTTAAGAAAATGTAGTTAGTTTTGAATCTGCACATTATATGTGGAGCGTGTGGATGTATAAATACTGCACATGAGTGAAGGTATGTGCATATTTTGCCTATAGATTTTGGCACAGTTGTAACACGATCCTACTCTAGTAATGCCTTTGTGTATGATTTGGTAATAAATATTAAAATATCTAAAAAGACTCTTAAACTTGACTCCATGAAGGCTTCTCTCTATCACTTACTCAATTCTGGCACTGAATCTCGGGGTATTAAGAAAACACCATCCATACCCTTGGTTTTATGGTATAAAAGCTTATTGTCTTGTTCTTCAATGCAACATTTAGATCATAATAATATCCCCATGATTAGTGGTGGCAAAAGAATTATGTGATGAAGCAACAAAACCATTAATATTATTTTAGACTTGACACGGAGGAGGTCAGAGAGAAAGTGGAGGGAATTCATGCCACAAAGTAATTATATTTGTGGATATGGACCTGGTTTAAAGGGTCAAACACGGTGAACACAAATCTGTTTTAATGTTGTCCCCTTTGTTCTCTCACAGCAAGGTTTTCTTGATTTCCCTCCCATGAGATTCCTTTGGTACATCTCATACTTGAGAGCATCTGAGTGGGAAACTCAGATGGAATGGGAAAATAATCAGTGTAATGATCAGAAACTGACATTTCAACCACCAAGTGTTACCTTCTAAGCATCAGTGCAAATTGGACGTGTTCTCAGCAGTGTTTGGCACCTACCACTCTCCTCTCAGGAGGTGGTGCGTGCACCCACATCCACACACACACACACACACACACACGCACGCCTGTAGGGCCCCATACAAGCCTGTCTCTCCCACCCTTTCTCTGGTCATGGGGCTGTGGTCACTTATCAGAAGTTGGCTGAACATTTTCACACACATAGGCAGTGCTTTCTAACTACGTGATTAGGAAAGGTGCTCAAAATGGATTATTCAGAAGAAAAAATATGGGGAAAGGTCCCCCTGGTGCCCCTCTGCCCCCTTTTTTATCAAGACTGGGCTGTGGAGGTGGGTTCCCACAGAGTCCTTGCGGGTGGCACTGCCTGTGCACGTGGCGGGGGAGGCGCGGAGGAGGAAGGTTTACTTGGTTTTGCAGTAGGCCACCACACACATGATGCCGACCACGAGCAGGGCGATGCAGATGCCGGTGATGGTCAGCACCCTCTTCTGGTAGAGCTCCTCTGCTTCTGGAAAGGGATGAGAGCAGATGTCACCAAAGGTCCCTTACATGTGCCAGGACTTACAACTGAACAGTTTGCATGCTGCATGACATTGCCCATGGTCACAAGAAAATAAATATGTGACAACTCGTTACTTTTACAGACATACTTCAAATACAGCATACTCTGTGCTACATTTTGAACGTAAACTTCAAAGCCAGATGAGGCCATTTACAATAAAAAGTAGTATGCTATATAATATTACTTTAATTATAAGCTATAGATACATATGGATTAAATTAGCAAATCATACACAGATTATAAAATAACTTTGGTTACAACTGTGGTTTTTATGTTTTAAAAATCTCTTGCAAAGACAACAGGAATCAGGTCATTCAAGGAGCTGGGGCCAGCACCCCAGGACCCTGCTGTCCTCCTTCTCTCCCCACCCCCAGGCTCTTTGGATTTCCCAGCTATTTTATATTCCAGTGGTCTTTACAAAGAACCATTTCTAACTTAATAAAATAAACTCAAAGACATTTGCAAACATGAGCTTGGCTTGTAGTTAGCAACAAAATGGGAGCAGGATCCCTATGCTTTCTCAGCATAATGGGAATGTAAGGCACACGATATGGAGCACCAAGGCGCTGGCCCAGAGAAAACCCAATATGATGGGTGGCACAGTCCGGGGCCAAGGTGAACCTTTGTTCTTTGGAGGACAATGATTATTACGTCACCAACTGTACTTACAGACCTCATCTATCTGACTAAGATGGCAAATTCGTTCATGCAGGTTACACTTAAGGAAGTGTGATACTTAGAACATTGAACTAAAGGTACTCTAGCATCCCAAATGCAACTAGTCTCTTATTCACGGAAGTCTTTCTATTTGCAAATCAGTTTTTTGGTGGATGATTTGATTATATGGTAGGTCAGGTTATTAACAAGATTGGCTGACTTAATGGTGAACCCGATTCCCTAGGAGCTGAGCTTCCAACCATTGTAATTACACGTATTGGAAGGCAGTCTCCAGTTTACAGAGAAAGAGAAGCCAACCAGTGCATAATAAGCAGCATAAGCTCTGCTTGGTTTTCTAATTAATAAGCTGGTCGAGAACTTGGGAACATGATACAAATGAATGTCTTTTATCTGGACATCAACATGGGGCCTCATGAACATTTTCAGTTTACATTCTCAGTCTCAGTAACCACACCTTTTTTCTCTCTACGACAGAGGGCAATTCACAGGAAATTTTCTTGGAATGAAAAAGTGCATTTTAATTTCTATGATATAGTCGACCTTATCATTAAACACAACATTTCCTACAAGCCAAGCCCATGGTAATCAAATTCCAGTTAACAGGTCAGGAACATTGTCAAATCCAATTAATACAGCACTGATTATTAACGGGAGGAGGAGGAGAACAGAAGTCAGTGGGTAAAAGACTAGAATGCCGCAGAGATTAGACAAAAACAAACCAAAAGGTTGGAAGTGGAAAAGGAAAAACAAACCAAGAGGACAGACAGACTGACAGAATGACTGAGAGAGGGAGGAAGTCAGGTACAGGGGAAGAGACGGTTAAAAGTGGAGTCATCTGAAGTCCCTTGGCACAGCATGCCTGATACTAAGGGAGGAAAAAGAAAGAAATAAAAGAAAACCAGAGGGAGGAAATGCTTAGGTGGGAAGAACAGGTGGATGCAAAGTTGGAAGGGTTGCCCCATACAGCATAACTCCTAACCTAGGCTGGCCGGCACGTGGAAGCCACAATTAGGAAGCAAAGCAGCTGGCGTACTGCCGTGAAACAACCAGGAGACATTAAGAGTGCTGTTGCATAGTTTTTGTGCCGCAAAAGTCAAGTGAGGAGTGGAATGTGAATGCTTATGTGTTAATGGCTTGTGTCTGCTGCCTCCCCTCCCCCATAGAAATAGAACAGGGAATTACACTGGATGGGGTGTTAATCTGTGAGCTGGTGCTCGTGGAGCCTGCTCCTTGACCTGGCATCCAGATAAGCCCTTAGCATGTACCTGCTGGTCCTTCTCCACAGAACCCAGGACACAGAGCAAGGTGCCTTTGATTATGGAGAGTTGATTAAGAAATAGGAGTGTGAAAGTATTATTGCTGAGAAAATAAAGACCCTGCCTTATGTAGCCTTTTTTTTCACTCACTCTATTTTTTTCTTCTTTTAAAACGATAAGGGTTTGGTAGCATTGACCTCTCAACATCTTATCTTCAGGAAAAAAACCCAGAAATTGCTTCTGCAAACTACCAAAATAAGACCTATCCAAGGACTAAAGAAGGGTGAAGCATCATGCATATTCTCAGGGGTTCTACTGACCAGTTTTTTATTGTTATTAATGGTAAAAGGATAGATCGATCTGGGTCTGGGAACACCTGGTATATGATACCTCACCCAGGCTGCCTGTGTGGTGTAGGAAGGCACCCACCTCCCAGCAAGATCAGTTATGGGAATGAAAGGGCCCAGTAAAGGCCGAGGGGTAGAGCAAAAGTGCTAAGTGAAACGATGGAAGCAAAGCCCACAGAATACAGATGTGGGGTTCAGATTCTGTATTCACTTCGGCATTTATTGAATGCCTTAAATGTTTCTCATCTAAGTTTCTGTTTGATTTTCAAATATTTTACTAGATCAGGTGCCCTCCCCATCCCACAATATCAAATGTGTTAAAAGAAAAATTCATGGTTAAAAATAACAATGGCTTCTTTTAACCCCACGTTTCCCCTTATTTTTTTCTCAGTGTGATGGGACCAATAGGGTAACAGTACACTAGAGGCAGTGCTGAAAAAAAGAAGTCCTCAGTGCAGTCAGCAGATGTGCCTTCACGAGTGGAAATGCCGCTGAGGCTTTCTGGTTCGGCTGGACGCATTCCGATCAAGCACGTTTTTCAGTATGATCTGGCCAGGCCACGTGACAGAGGCCTTGCCTTTCTCAATTTTAATTGACCTTTAAGGTCTGACTTTCCTTAGCCGTGGAACTGCAGGGCCTCCAGATGAGGCATGCAAGTATCAACAGGCTGTGTCTTTATTAACCCTTGAGACCTTCCTGAGGGGGAAGTGGTATATCTGAAGTATCCTTCACCTTACTCCACTGTTTGGGAGTGGAAATAATAATTCTACAGTCAGACTCTAAAGGGATAAGGCAGCAAAGAGGCTGTTAGGAAGAAGAGGGGAGGTGATGGTGGAGTGTTTCTCCTCCCTGCAGGAAAGGCCAATAAGCCCTTGTAGAAGTGGGTCCATTTTTATGCTGAGAGAAGCAGTTGATGTAGAAGACTCCCCCGGAGTGGATGGGCTGCCACTCAAGTGACCCTGTGGGCCCTCTCTTGCCTGTCACTCCTGGGAGAGGTCCTCTGACATTCAAGGGACCACATACAAATGTGGGAGGGTTTTCATCAGATGAACAATTTTCTCTTGGAAGGTTTTTTGGAGGCACAGGCGATTGAGTTTATTCCTGCAACTGCCAGAGACAGCACTAGCGTCATTTTCCACGACTTACAGAAGTGCATGAGCTGTCAACTGTGATGAATCGGCCCAAAGAGGATGGCAGCTGTAGGGCGCCCTCCCTGCACAGTCACAGACACCGGCTGAATGGGGAGCATTCTGTTCATCAGGACATTGTGGACGCATGACCACGGTCCAGGGCCACATGCAGCATCCAGGAGTTCTGGGGCCTGTGCCGTGGGGCTTCTGGGAAGGTAGGGCAGCTTCTTCTCCTCCCAAGACTGGCCTACTCTACCAACTACTTAGGACGAGGACTTCAAAAGGAGCATGCCCCAACTTCACATGCTCATAGGAGATATTTTACATTTAGTGTTCGATTATTTGGATAATCTTAGTGACTCAAGTTTAATTCCATTACCACTGGATTTTCCACCTAAAATAGCACATGGCTTATCTCTTTCTGTGTCCTCTTTCTTTCCTCATGAGACAATGAGGTTGACTGGAGTCCTGTTTGGAGAGCTCCAGAAAATCAGAGTAATTCATGTCTGTTCATGTAGTATTGTGTTGCAATGTTAGAGCTTTCTTGATGCTGTTAGATATGATTTTTATAGTGTATGTCCAACTACCAGCAGCCTAAGATTTGCTGTTATTTTAAGGTGATATATGTCACACTTCTTTGGTGCTCGGGCCCCTGGCTTGGTTCCTCTGGCAGCCTTGTGTACCGCTCCAACTTACCCCCGCTCTGAAATGACAGCATGGCCAGATCCAATCAGTGGGTGAAGGAACGTGGGATATACGTGAATTTGCAGCAGGTGAGATGATTTTAAACTCTAAGTGAAGCTCGGGACTCTAAAAGCTGCTGCACTCAGTAACATTTCGGTAAATTGATCATCGACCGAAAACAGAAAAATCATTGTTATAGCTGTATGATCCCTTCTAAAGAAAAAGGAAGTTTGTTAGGAACTGAAAGGGAAGAGTGGGAAGGGGAAGAGGTTTCAGCTCATAGGCTCTAAATTCTGCAGGCCAAAAGGAATGATGATTGGTCCATACCCATAAATTCAATCCCAAGATGCTCTGCCAATGCAGAAAGTTGACAAAAAAAGAAAGAAAGGGAAAAAAGTTTCAGAAAAGAGCAATACACTGCACTCCAAAACACATTACACATACTATTACAGCTCTTTGTGCGTGCACACTGAACAGGACCAACGGTGCTTGTTAACAAAGCAGTGCTCAGGTACGCCTCCAACAGCCCACACAGGGAACTTCTCTTTTAAGAGGTGTGCGAATACCAGCACACTGTGTCTTTATTAACCCTTAAAACACTTTACTGAGGGAGAAGTTGTATAGCTGAACAACTATAGTTATATAGTTGTATACCTGCTCTTATGTAATTTGGGAATAGAAATACCGTATTTATAACTGGAAAAGGCATTTGGTATTATTTCACTCCTGTCTTTTTAAGAGGCAGAAGCAAAGTTCCAGACAGTTGAAATTTTTGTTTCCCCAAAGACACACAGTGGCAGAGCCAGGAACAGAAGCCAAGGGGGTGAAAATTTGAAAATTTTATCACATTGGATGTATATTTTTCATTAGTTACGCTCTCCTGTTTCTTGTGGCTTTGGTCATTTTTTGAAACTCTGTCTCCTCTCTCCTACCCTTCCACCCTCTCCACCATGTATGTGGTATTTAACAAACATTTCTGCCCCCGAAACCCGGTAGGGCACTGGGGCATCAGAACCTGCCCGCACCTTCTTCGTGTCATTTCTGTTTGGCACAGGAAAGGTTCAGTGGCTTTTTTCAAATTATAAAAAAAAATAAAAAGATGGGGGCGGATACAATTCCAGGGATCTTTACAATTCCAGGGGTTCCTCAAAACACAGAGAGCCAGTTTAGACGATCCCCCCCGCAGTGCTGAGCACAGATGCCTGGGTGCCAGCCCACAGGCGCAGGCTTGGGAGAACCCGCCTGAGGGCAGCCCAGCGAAGGGGCCCGAGAGGCGGGAGCCCGCAATCCTGGCCGATCTGACCTGGGGGCACCAGGATTGCAGGGCTAGAGGGACCTGCACAGGCTTAAATGAATAAAGGGGGAAGTGGGGCAAAGAAGGAAAAACACCCTGGCAGTGACACTTTCCATTCTTGGATTAAAAATGGCTAATCAAGTTCCACCAGTGTGGTGGGTGGGGAGGCAGGGGCAGAATGAAAACAGGGGTTCAGGAGTGTACTGACTGGGAGGCACCAGGGCGGTCCCAAAACATGGCAGGGTGCCTCTGAAGTCTGAAAACAGGTCAGCTGGCAGTGGGGTATTTCTCTGACAAATCCATCCGTTTGAGCCTGGACAAAGCGTCTCATACAGAGGGGGAAGAGCAGGAGCGAGGAGTGGTGCAATCACCCTGGTTTCAGGTCCTGTCTCTGCCATTTACCTGTTCAGTGACTTTGGACAAGTTAATTTCTCATTGACAAAATGCTTACGATACTAACACGTGCCTCACGGGCAACCCTGTGGAATAAAGAGCCCGTGAGATAGGCTGGCCAACAGCTGAAGGGTTTAACAGCTTGGGGAATAGACACGTCTGGACATTTACCTTGGGCCAGTTACTGCATGGAGGTTTCACTTTTGACTAATTTCATGGCCAGGAAAACTCGGGAAGCTCCTGGGATATGTCAAGGATTTAGACTTGAAAAACTTGCCACCTCTTAAGGAAACGAGGTTTCACAGATTAAAAAAATATGTGTATCAAACAGCACATTGAGTCACAATGATAATGGCAGGACCCAGGTATAATATGGAGTCCCCTCTGCCTTGGGTTGAGGGTACGAGGCAGATAACCTAAGTTTTTCATAAATTAAGAGCCAGATGATGTAGAGTTAATTTGACTACACAATATTCGCAGCAAAACAATTTGCTGCAATGAAAACAAATTCCTCTTGCCTCTGTGCAACGACTTGACAAATGGGCGTTGTTTTTTCCATTTGTGTCCTTCACATTAACTTTGGAGCACCATGGCATGACAATTCATGTTCAGAGGAAATAATACATTTCCTTAGACATGTTCATGAGGCTGTGACTCCGTTTTTCTCTCTAGAACCCTCTCCATCTCTTGCCTCTTCCTCCTACCAGTCAGTAACAATTTAAGGGTTAAAATCAAGAGATATCCACAGAAACTCTTTCCAGAGAATCATTATTCCATGCCTACGTGAACACTGCTAATGACCTATATTAGTTGCATAGAAAGCTTGGTTAGGTCTTCAATAAAATTAGTAGCATGCCCATGCATACATATTACTGCATTTACAGTTTTATAGGTAAGTCTGTGAGCCTAACTCTAATTTCATTTCAGGGGAAGTCATTCATATCAGGCAGCTCCAATTTCAAATAATTCAAAGGGAAATTGGTACTTAAAATTGGAATCTCTTCTGGCCATAAGCCCTAACAAGGAAACAAGCAGAGGAAACATGCATCAGTCATTCTAGACCTGGAGCAAACACTACTCTAATTTGTTTTTACTACTGGTGGCTACATTTCTTCTTTGTGAGTCAAGAAAAGCATAATACACAAACACTTTCTATTTTATGAAGAGGTTATTACTTTCTATCTATTCTATTTAATCTAATGTTGGCTTTGGCTCATTATGCATCATACGCTTCCTATTGAACTTCTGCCTAGCCACTACATTTTTCAAATTAAATTAATAATTCAAAAACACAAAGGTTACTGTAAACAATTTAGTTTCCTTTTCTACATGTGATTTCCTGCTGTGCAATAAGCAATATAAAAAATTAATTTAAATATAAGAGTCTGCAGACACTATTAAATATTGACTCACTAATCCGTTGCTTTAGGATTTTATAATTGTTTGAAGAAAACTGATTAACCTCTAGGTTAATTTAAATTTTCAATTCCATTAGAGAAAAAAAGATGACAACTTTCTTTTGCCAAAGTTATATGTACATACAATTATGTTTTCTGGTAAAATTTGAAGGCATTCAGGATTTTACTCTTCAACATTTTGGGTCTCCTTATAGAAATCGTCTCAAAGACGGTGTGTGGTCTTGACTTTCTGGCCCTCTGAGATTTCCAAAGGAGTCTGTCAATGCCTATTCTAAATGGGGCCAATTGAATGTCTGACTTTTAATTTTCAACTTACCTTTATAGATGTGGGTACTTGCTTTTCACATATACCAATCCATGTGGTCACTGAGCCCTTGGAAATGTAATAGGAGACTTTCTCCTTACTCCCGTTTCCGTGTGCCTGAGAGCACACGTGCCAACACGCACACAGTGAAATCTCACTGCACTCAGCTGCCATGCATGATGATTTTGTCAGAGACTGAGTGTGTGCCTTTATTCTACTGTTAGCAAGATACATGTTTGATAAACACATTAATAACTTCCACCGATTTTTAAAGCATTTAGAAGTCAAAACAACTTATGCAGTAGCAACCTATCATTCAAAACTACTTTTAAGGATATCTGCTAAGTTTACTCATTCTGAGAATATGCCTAAAAGTTCTAAAATTGCACTTTTTAAAGATAGCCTGTACTTTGGACTACTCTATAATTACTTCCTATGATGTCAGTTTCTGTATGTCACACACTTGCCCCATGCTTCCTTCCTCTAACTGTTGAAGCCTTGAGTGCTTATGTCCCTGGCTCATGAAGTCTGTATTGAGTACGGATCACCTGTACACACACACACACACACACACACACACACACACACACACAGTGATGAACACAATCCTTTCAGGTAGAAACTCTGTTTCATTTCTTAAAGATTTTATTTATTTATTTTTAGACAGGGGAGAAGGGAAGGAGAGAGGGAAAGAAACATCAATGTGTGGTTGTTTCTCAAGCGCCTCCTACCTGGGACCTGGCCTGCAACCCAGGCATGTGCTCTGACTAGGAATAGAACTGGCGACCCTCTGGTTCACAGGCTGGTGCTCAATCCACTGAGCCACACCAACCAGGGCAGAAATTCTGTTTCAATAGGTCAAATTTGAAGCTGACTAGCCCTGGCAATATTGTCCTAGAAAGTACTATAAATGTTTTATTTCAAGGCACATGACTGTCTCCAAGAAAACATATAAAATAAACATTTGCTCCTTTCTTTCATATTTTAACTCAGTTTTTCTAAGTCAATAAAATGTCTCATAGGACACTCTGACCAAAAAAGTTGCATGGAATCCTGAAAATGTAATTTATGCGCTAATAAGCATTGTGAAAATTGTACATTCCTTTAGAATATTATTTTTTAACTGCAAATGTGGTTTTGCAAGTTAGAACACACTTCTCTTAAAGCTGGGGAATATCTTTTATTTTAAAATTTATGCTATGTGTTTCAGACTTTAGGAACACTAACAATTAAATTTTAAACATTAGCACTGTGGGAATGTTTTTTACTCTTTATGCAGCCCTTGTTGCTACTTGAACATAAAGTTCTTAGGACAGCAAAAATTTATTTTCCTGCTTTCTATGCGGGACTTTGCAGAAATAAAAATTGAGAATTTAAGACATAGAGGTGAGACAATTAACTCTGGGCTAGACAGCTTTGGAAAGCAGTTTCTGACTGGAAATTTCTCATTTTTCTGGGAAGAAGGCAGCACCTATGCACTGCCATTGCATATTTTTTTCATAAGCGTGCCTCTGAGCAATCTTTGTTAAATCAGGTTAAATTGAATGCTGCTTTCCTGGATGTCTTCCAGAAGTGCCACTGAAAGTGTACTAAAGAATTTATTTAGGGAATCCCATTCTGAGTAAATACACAGTATGCCTCAGCCTTGACCTGGTGTCTCAGTTGGAGTGTCATCCTGTGAACTGAAGGGTCGCGGGTCCGATCCCCAGTCTGGGAACATACCTAGATTGCAGGTTCGATCCCCAGTCAGGGCATGTACAGGAGGCAACCGATTGGTGTTTCTCTCTCCTTCTCCCCCTACTCCCCTTCCTCTCTGTCTAAAATCAACTTAAAATTTATTAAAAATATACACAGTGTGGCTTTTTAAAAATAGTATCTTATGAAAAAGGTCTAAAAGTTGAGAATATTTTCTCTGATTACAACTCTCAGATCCAATGACATTATTATTTTTAGAAATAGCTTAATTTTTAATGCAATACTCTACATAGTGCCCAAAATCACCTTCAATGCACAATGAAACTGTGTAACAACAAAAATTTAAGTATAATGTGAATGTTCAGAATTTTCATTAAATTATAAAATATAATTTATTTTATTTATATGGTGTCAGGGATTTGATAAATCTATATTTTAAAATACAAATACATTTCTAAAAGGAATGGTTTTAATATATTAAATAAAATTCTATTATTTCCTTTCTATTTTTACTTTCCATATTATCTACTTAAGAAAATCAATCTATAGCTATGGAGAAAACTTCTGTGCACTAAATTCATATCATTTTAAGATTTGTCAGCCCTGGCTAGGTAGCTCTGTTGGTTAGAGCATTGTTTTAATAAGCCAAGGTTGTGGGTTTGATTCCTGGTCAGGGCACATACAAGAAGAAACTAATGAATGAATAAACAAATGAAACAACAAATTGATGTTTCTCTCTCTCTCTCTCTCTCAATGTGTTTCTCTCGCTCTCTCCTTCCCTCTTCCCGTCTCACTCTCAAATCAATAAATAAAAAAATAAAAAATGATTTTGCAATAAAGTGAAGATTGTATTTGAAAATTTAGTAATGTCAATTTGCCACTTTTTTACAACAGAAAATGGCTAAATGGCCAAAACATAATCTTTGACATGTAGTCCATGTAAATATATAATAAGTACCACTTCACTAAATACATGATTAAATATTATGGGTCTAATTTCCTCCAAATGCACATGGAATTTATTTTCCCATGGAATTTATTATTCTATGACTAGTAACACAAGGGACAGAATTTTATTCTCTAAATGCATATGATTAAGGGCAAATCTTGTCTTTTAGGGACCCCAAATGACCATCTCTTATCACTGTATCTTGTGTTCCACAAACTCACACTGCAATAAGCTATGTGTAATATTATTGAGGGCGTGCAGCTGACTGTCTAATCAGTGGTGCACAAATCGAGCCCACTGCCTGCTCTGATACATCAAGTTTTGATAGCACACAGCCATGCTTACCAGTTTATGCACTGTCTATGGCTGCTTTTATTTTTTGCTACAATTACAGAATTAAGTAGTTGATAGTGAAGATATCATTTACAAATCCTAACATATTTAGTATCTGATTCTTTGCAGAAAAAAAAAGTCAACCTTTGATCTAAATGGATAGTTTCATGGAATTCATTTTAAACACAGTGCTTTGGAAGCTCCAGAATGAAAAGCTATAATCCCAATTCACAATAGAAGGACAAATACAGTTTAGTTTCCATGCAATTATATGCAATGTGAATTAGGTTGTTTGGGAGTGATGTTTAAAACTTCCTGAAGCCATAGAAACCCATAAAAATTTCTCAGTTCTTCATTTAAAAAAATATATATATATATACATCTAGCAGCAAACTGTTAAATTTCAAAGTAAATAATAAATATTAAAAAAACCTACTTTCTCCTAAAATTATACTTGAAAGCAACAATAAGGAAATGCTAACATAAATAAATAATTGTTTAAGCTGGTTCTGAATCACTTGTTTCCTAAGCATCATAAACAGAAGCTGAGCTATCTCACTTGCTGTGAAATGTTTGTTTTTAATTTTCCTACTCAGTGCTTTTTTTAAAAATACTTAAGTGCAAACTGCTGGTTAATGAAGAAAAACATCTGAACTCTTTTTATTATGTTTATTCATAATAAATACATTCTGAAACCCAAATGAACTTACCATCATTTCAAGTGCATATTGGTTACAACTTAGCAACATCTTTTTCAGGATGTTGTCACTTTATAAAGAAGGTGGACTGTTCAGTGGAATGCTTTTATTTTATCAATAAAAGTGAGACTTTTAAATGCCTTTATTATCATTGCACTGCTTGATATTGACTATCATTTTGTATCACATTATTCAGTATCAATTTCAGAAACATCGGGAGCCTCACACACCTATTAGATTCTCAGAGCCAACTAGTCACGAACAGAGGAAGTAATACAATCGCTTTTGTTAATGGTCTCATGCGACAGGCAGAGGCAGTCAATGTTAGCCCTGCTCAAACACATCTAGCTCTAGGTGAAATCTGAGGGGAGATGCAGCAACAAGAAAGCAGCACCGACTGAGCATGCTCCTATTCAGGCAGAGACAGAAAGGGAGTGGACGTACTGTAGAAGCTGGCCATTACGTAGTTTTGGCAGCGATCACCAGTAAACTCATTTGGGCACCTGAGAGAAGAAACAAAAAAACAATGGTAGAAAAAACAGAGAAAAAGAGAAGAGGTGAATATATGCTAGAAAGAAGCTCCTTCAGTGTCATTTGACTGAACTTGGTGAGTTCACCCTCAGGAACTGAGTCTTTGTCCTCATCATGGCCTTCGGACTCTGGCATCTCCCAATTTGGACCAAATGTAGTCCTTGGGTTTGTATGACAGAAAGATCCCAGCATTTTAAGTGACTGCTTTCTTTCAGAAGGAGCCACTTAAAATTAAATCTGACATTTTCTTCATCTCAGTTTTCCATTTGATCACTTTAGTCAAAAATGTTGGGAGGAAATTTTTTCCTTTTGGTTGGCCTGCCTGCCATCGCTGCTAGCATCACGGGCCATCCTGGTGGATCATTCTTTTAAGTTTATGACCTTTGGGGGCCCATGTTAAGAGACAGGTGAACAAGGTCAGATCGAATGGTTTGTGCCCCGAGTGCTCAAACCATAATTAGAACAAAAGGAATCAGTTACAACTGAGCTGTAAAAACACCAAGCGGTAGTGATTGTTGCTGTAGTTTGGGGAGAAAGCAAATTTCAGATTATTTTAACATACTTTCTTGGTTTTGGACTTTCATTGGCACATTCTCAGTACATCTCGCTCCAGTGAATCCAGGTTGGCACCTAGAGGGTAAAAATGTCATAAGCAATAGAATGCTAAAGACATTGAACTCTCAGACTGGCAATTTTCCTCCTATGGAATATGGAGATTCCTACAAATGACCTGGTGACTGAACAACACAAAGAAAGGAAAAAACATTTAGAAAACTGTGTCCCACGAAAACTGTGGGCTATACCGTGTGGTTGTGACTATTTGCTTCAGTCTTCATCAGTTAACCAAGTGAGGTTGAAAAGTGAATGGGGGTGGGTAGCTAAATCCTCTTTCCTTGGGCATTTCCTTATTTGCCACTGATCATCGACTCTTCCTATGTTAATGGGATGATCACACTGTAAGGCAGATCAACGTCTAATCACTGTTTTTTACACCTGAAATTAATATAATATCGCATGCCAACTGAAACTGAAAAATAATTTTAACAAAAACACTGGTTTGGGAAAGAGCTTACATGGTTCCATCCATCATCTTCCATTATTTAAATGATTCTGAATTTTTACTTTTATACACACTCAATTTTATACTTATTTTCTAGGTATTTTTTGTAAGTTAAATCATCGAACTACACTAGAAGTGAAACACTCACACCCTAATGATAGTACTGAGAAGAAAAACTACATTCCCTGTTTTTTAAAGATATGACAAATCAGGTCTCACTTTTAATGTTGAAAGACAGAAAGAGGCATATTTTTATTAGAACAGATTTCACTTCATTCAGTTATCCCAAATCAAAGACAAATATACTTTTAACACTTAGAACATTAAAACTTCTACAGTAGTACTTGATTTCATTTTGCTTTTAAGGTAAAAATATTTGAAAAATGTATAAAATTTACATTTTACCCACTCACATGAATGTATCAAAATTCTATAATTGATATACTACTGTTTTCGAGGTTATGTAGTGGGGCTATTGTGCCTAAATATGGAAGTCTTTTACAACTAACTGCCCTTTTCGTGTTGCTTTTCCAGTAACTAAAGCCTTTCAGATTGGGTTCATTTTACCCACATATCATACTATAATAAGTGGGACCACCGAAAGATTCTAGGAGGCAAATACACTTACAGATGTTCAACACCCAGACCCATAATTATTACTAATACTGTAATTAAACCATGAGAATCATGCAAAGTGTCTAATATAATAATAGTTCTGATAGCACAAAGCTCATGATTTACATATAACCTTTTCTTCTCCAGAGTAAATAAGAATAAATAAGTCATTTGGCATCAAAGAAATGTGTAAGAAAAACTATTCTTTTTTACAGGTGATTTCGAAAATTTTCCCTTAAAGCCAAATTCAATGCCAAAAACATGTTCTCACATGATTTGATACATATACTTCTCCTATTTCATGAGGAAAGGCCTGGGAGATAAAATACTGGCAGTTGCCAATTTTCAGCCCTATGCATACTTGTTTCAAGTTAAAATATAAATGATCATTAACAATACCAATGAGCTTAATGACAAATATCTTACACTGATTGACATAGCGCCTTTGAACTCTTCAAAAACACTTTTATATAAATGAACTGGTTATTTTTGGTTAGAATACTTTTGTTGCAGTAAAAAGAGGAAGATCTACCCAGAGAAAATCAGAAATAAGAACAATAACCTTGCAGGCTGGATCATTTTTCATAAAGGTGACATTTCACATGCTTCGCGATAAGAACATTTTCACAGATACATAAAAAATACATGGAAACTTGCTTTCTGTGTAACTTATTTGTTGTTTGACAATAATTTCTGAAGCATTTGGGGTCTTGATTTGTGTATTTGCTTCTGAACCAGGACTATAAATCCATATAGACATACCCTATAGTTAAGCAGGTGATTTCAGAATTAAAGATATATTCCATAATGATTATTTCATCTTACCTGTTTGCCTCCTTGAAAAAAAAATCACACAATAATCCATGTTTTCACACAAAGAATATGGTATAAGATATGTGAGTGCTGTGGGTTTGTGTGTCTGTGTATGGGTGGGGAGAGAGAGAGAGAGACAAGCATTTGAGGTCAGGAATGTATTATTTAAGAACCATGAAATTAACAAATTAAGAGAAGGAATATGCATTTTATTAGAAAATTATCATTCGTCCAGCTGGTGTGGCTCAGTGGAATTAGTGCCAGGCTGCAAACCAAAGGGTCGCTGGGTGATTCCCAGTCAGGGCATGTGCCTGGGTTGTGGGCCAGGTCCCCAGTAGAGGGTGCATGAGAGGCAACCACACATTGATGTTTCTCTCCCTCTTTCTCTCTCCCTTCCCCTCCATCTAAAAATAAATAAATAAAATCTTTAAAAAAAAGAAAATTGTCATTTATGCATCTTAAATAATAGTTTTAAGATCAGAGGGTACAGAATAACCAGGTGAAGGGGATGAAAAATCTTATCCAATCAATTTTCTGATTAGTATGAAATTCCAAAATGATGTTTCTTAGGAAACTAGCATTATGATGGTTTGGTTTATCACTATCATAAGATGATAAGAAATATTTGGCGCAGTAACACTAGACCTCACGGTATGTCAATTGGTTTTGGAATTTTCAGCTACTTCTGAAGCAGCGCTAGCCTTCCACGAACACTGATCTTCACTCAGATACATTTTCTTCGTGTGAAGCCTTGTTGTTTCTCAAAGTGTGGTCCACGGACCAAGAGCTCCAGCCTCTTCTGGGTATTTGTTAGTAGAAATCCAGAATCCCAGGCCCCAGTCCAGGACCACATGAATAAGAATCTGCATTTTAACAAGATTTCCCAAGATATCTGTATGTACATTAAAGTGTAAGGTGTCAAGGGCCCTGACCTTAGAAGATGAAGACAAAGGCCCCCTGTCCTGGCACTGCAGTGTCTTGCTTGGATGTGAGTGGCCCACTGGGCTTCACTGGGCTTCAGTGGGCCTTGGATTTTCTCAGTGATAAGATTAAGGGATTTAAAAAAACCCACATAGACAACAGTATGGTCACTACCAGAGGGAAATGGGGGTGGGAGATGGCAGGAGAAGGTAAAGGGGGGATAAAGGGTGATGGAAGAGATGTGACTTGGGGTGGTGAACACACAATACAATGTACAGATGATGTGTTGTAGAACTGTACACCTGGAACCTATATAATTTTATTAACCAGTATCACCCCAATAAATTCAATAAAAAGTACACATACATAAATTTTAAAAAGATTAAGGGATTTAACTAAGTGATTATCAAAGGTTTCTTTTACCACAAATGTTCTGGGAATGGAAGTTCATCCTAATCATGGAATCGCTGTGCGAAAAATCCCTACAATTATTTCTTCTGGAGGCATTACCAGTCAGGGAGGGCTCAAGGTCTTCTAAAAAACATTTTTGATAGAGTGAATTTCTAAGACAAACATGGAGGTAAAACAAACTGCAAACCCTATCCCCCAGCAATTCAAGTGTTCAGCAACAATGGTCATCACGTAACTTCTGTGGGTGTCTAGCGCGGTTGCCAAGTCAAATGGACGGAAGTGGAAACTGAGACAGTTTCCACATAAGCTGACCGCAGACTCCATTGACTGTGTAGAAAAAGCATGTATACATGCAAACTCATCTCCTCTCCAAGCCCTGATTAAACTCTATGGAACTCCTTCTACAAGAACAGGGAGACTGTCTGGCCTCTGACTTATTTCTACATGAGCATTACATGTGACGCATCCAATCTACCACTTTGCTTGGAGATAGGAGGATGGTCAACTTAATCAGATTTTGAACAATGTGCTTTGGAATGAGTCTGAGCAAATTCCAAGAATTTTATTTCTTAAAAGAACCTGGCTGAATAACCATCAAGCCCCTGCCGTAGCTTCAAAAATATATATACCATTTGTTCCACTGATTAGATTAGAAGATGGAAATGATTTTTAAATTTTAGTATCTGCTCATAATGTGATAAACATCCTTTGTTCTATATTTGTTCTTAATGAGATGGAAGTTCACAGGCAGTATGTCTGAACTTAGGTAGTACTTCCTCCAACTAACCCTGACCTGCGCCTCCCCATCTCCCCACTTCCTGTCCCGATCTCTTTGACGCCCCTTATCTACCTGTGTTGGGATTATCTTTTTGTGAGGACGGTGACATTTTGATCCTTTTGTATCTCTAATGTTTAGTACAGCATCTGACTCATAAAGGTCTCTCATAAAATGTCTGTGAAACTGAGCCTAAGATAGGATAGAATTGCAGTGTCCAGTGAAGAACTGTATCAAAGGGACTCTCGCATAGTCAATCGATTTGCCAACTACAGGTCAATACTGAACGTGTGGCTCTTATTTTTATAATTTATGACAGATTCTCCTCTGTAGACTCCTAAATAACTTTTTTATAGCAACTCCAGCGCTCTCTTCAC